AATTGCGGCGTATGGCGCGTGAAACGCGCGTACGTGTACGGGTGGGGGGCGTTTGATTATAATCGCATGAATTTTCAGACTAAGCGCCATTATCATCTTTTGTGCGAGGTACAGGGGGGTAGGTACGTGGAGGGTACGTAGACTAATCAGTCGGCGCGCGGCACGTCTCGTTGGGCTCGCACCGTTGCTCGACGCGACACCGATCGCTCGTGCTACTATACGTATAATATCGAGCTCTTTATGCAATGACAAAATGCGCCATGAAGCGTTGCAGCGGAGGGGGGCCGTTCGAGTTGGCAGCGTCGCAATCAGCTGATTCGGATGCCGGAGCGAGAGAGACAGCAGCGTCTGTCTGTGTTGACGCTCGTTCGATAAGGTAATACCGCACGCTTATATCATTTACTGCAGTAAACCATTATCGGGCACTCGTCCGTTTCGCGATTTCGTTAGTTGAAAAATAATAAATACACCTGTACATCTGACGCGTGCACGGCTGAAAAGGAGCAGCAGCAGACAGACAGACAGACGCTGAGTTTCGAGTCTTATTTCAGTGATGGATATTGAAAATGTGTTCGCGCGGCTCGGTTTCGAGATCGATCGGAACGTCATCAGGGGAATTTCCAAACCGTACTGCATGAAAACGCACGATATCGGAAGGGTCATACTCGATGTTCTGTCGGAAAATCCCGATCACGTTGCGCAGGTACATTGATAACATTTATAAGTACGTTTCGATGAATTTTGAATTTCGTAGAGTATTTATTTATTTAGCAAAACAATTGTTTTGTAAATATATTGAAAATGCGATAAGTAAGACGAGCGAAAATTCAGAAGTATTAATACAAGCGACTGACAGTAATAATTACTCTGCACTGAGAAAAATTTATGGGAAATTTTCAAATAAATGTTATAAAAATTACCAAGTTTTGTTGTAATTAATGTATGATCTCTAATTACGAAATTTTCAACTATAATTTTTAGAAAACATTACCAAGCAAGTACGAAATATTGTTATGGGCATTGCAAAAAACTAATCTGTATCAAAAATCGTCAAGTTAGACATCAAAAATCTTGATTTGGTTTAGATTCACGAATCGCCGATAGATGGCGAACGAAAATTTTTAGAAAAACTCCCAAGTGGTAAAATATTTTCTGGAATTAATATATGAAGTTTTTATACAGTAGTATCGATATAAGATTCAAGCCACCATCAATTTCTCTCGCACGTCGCCAATTAACGAGTAGAAAAATTCTCGTCATCGGTCGAAAATAATCATTCGTATCGATGTAAAGCGCGTCGTTCATGATACACGACCGTGTTTAACTTCGAAAATCATGATGCAGATCGAGGCCGAGACCGGCAAACGAACGGCTCACGGCGAAACGAGAGAGGCATCGGTAGCAACGACGTAATTTCCATTTGCATAGATAACGAGCTCGACGCGTACGTACCCCAATTGGCCTGCTACTATACGTGGGAGCTGCTTATAATCCCTGGCATCCCCAGGTCGGCCTGGGTAAGTAGTATAGCCTCGCGGAAAATGAATAACTCAAAAAACGTATTAACGATCGTACGGAAAATTCCGACGCAGAATCGGCTCGACGCTCTGATGCAGCTGGTGCGGCCGAGGGTGATCACCGAAGCGGCAAAACTCAAAAACGTCGCTACGAAGATCGTCGTTTTTGGAAGTCACTCGGATCACGAATCGCTCGACGACGTATTGTCGCGCGAACGAGCCTTTTCGAGAAACATCCTGCGATTCCGGCGCCACGAGGATATTTCACGCCGAGTTCGAGCCCGAGGAGACGTGCAAAGTCATTTAAAAATTTAGGGTACATAATTTACTAAATGTTGAGATGTTGCTAAAAATCACCACGAATTTTACGTGTTAGGTGTCTTGGTTCTTCATCACGCCCGACATGATTAACGCATTCAACAAGGCTCGAGTGTTCAAAAGGTACGAGCTCGAGTCTTTGAAGCTCATTCAGACGGGTGGCTCGAAAATAAGCCGAGACATTTTTGAAGCGTTCCAGGCGGACTTGCCGCGCGTCACGGTTCTACAAGGATACGGTAATCATCTCATTTTTACGACAAAAAAAATGTTTGATCTAAATCTCAACGATGTAATAACAGGAATGTGCGAATTGGGAGGCACGGACACGATGCAGACGGAGAAGCGCAAGAGGGTCGAGTCGACTCGGCCGGCTTCGTGATCGATCACGTGCGAGTGAAAATCGTGGATAAGGAGACGGTCGCAGCAGCTCTCGGGCCGAACGAGACCGGAGAATTGTACTGCAAATCGTCGACAATGACGCCGGGTTACCTGAGGAAACCCCGAGGCTACGAGCGAGCTCATCGACTCCGAGGGTATATACATCCACCATTATGAGCATTACATTGTTTCGCATTCGCGCGAGTTAATTATATCAAAGCAGCGGCAAATATTCTTCCCCCCGCGTGTATATAACGTGCCTTTGTCGCTATATACGCATATACAGCAGCGGCTCCTGAGTAAATCGAAATAATTCACAGGTTGGATTCGCTCCGGAGACAAAGCTTATTACGAGAGACGAGGCAGCGGCGGGCGAGGTCTTCGTCGTTGAAAGATTAAAGCAGGTGATGAAGTTCCGGGCTTATCACATTTCGCCGCGCACGGAAATCGAGCGAGTTCTGCTGCTGCTGCTCGGCCATCATCCGGGCGTAATGGAAGTGGCTGCTGTGGTGCTGCCCGCCGTGCCTCATGAATTAGACGGCGAGCGAGCCATGGCTTTTGTCACGCGAGTAGTAGCGTCGGCGGCCAAGAGGTAACGAGCTTTTTACTTTTTCACAACGCGCGACGCTACCAGTATAACACGAGTAGTAGCAGCAGCAGCAGCAAAAGAAGCAGCAGCAACGAGCCCCGTCTTTGTCTTTAATTTTGTGCCTGTGCATTTATAATAAAAAGGTTACCGAGGAGGAATTAATCCAGCTAAGTGCCACTCTCGTGCCGAGTCGAAGAAACTTCGTCGGGGCGGAGTAGTGCAGTTCGCTCGCGGAGATGCCGCCGTCGGGCAAGATTGCGCGCGGCGAATTGATAACGATGGCCAAATCACTGCCGCCGCCAAGCGCTCCTGAGGCGGCTGAAAATCGATGCTACTGCTGCTGCTACACGTGAAATGTATGATGTCTGGGGCCAATTTGTATGCGCGACTCGATCTCGACTCTCGAGCGACGACGACGACGATGATAATAAAAAAAAAACAAATTAAATAAAATAAATAAAGCTCATTGGTAGAAAGCGAATTTTTCTCGTATTCTCTTTTGTTGCTACTACCACCCATTAAAGGCGAGGGAGAGGCGAGGGAGAAAAAAAAATGAACGATCAGAAAAAACGAGTTTCGCATTCGCCGCACTATTGGCCGACTGCCAAATTTCAATGCGTACAACTTGTACGCTATATATAACACGGACTTGCATGTGTAATCTAAGCAGGAACTGTTCTACGCGTTACAAAAGGCGAGTACGGGGGAGGATGGAAAAGGAGCTTTAATTTCCATTGAAATTAGTTAATATTAAAAGTTCATTCTAACTGAGAGAAGTTTATATGAACTCTCTCTGTGCGAGTGAGAGAGTAAGAGAGTAAAATGTCGAAAGTTAATCCACACCGACGTCTTTAACATTGCGCTGCTGGCAATTTTCCCAAGACTGAAAATTCGCCTACTGAAATATCTTCTCTCCTTATTCGAACTGCAATCAATTCGGCTGACGGAGGACGACGACGACGAGCAAACGAGAGAGACTCGAGAGAATATAACTAAAAGCGAACCGTTTTACGTTCGAATTCAAAACTGTCATTCGTTATCATGATTCGAAATTTTACGATCCCCAACGAGTAGTAGTAGTAGTAGTAGCGGATAGATACTAGTCGCTCTCGCATATTTATTAGGGCATAAAAGAAAAAAATACATATAATGAAACATTTGCGTTTTACGACTAGACTCTCTCTCTCTCAGCGTAGTAATAGCAGTAGTCTTTGGGAGCCAATCGCACTGGGTCATCTCTACCTCTCTCTCTAACTAAGAAAATAACCAGCTTTTATATCGAGGCCGTAAAAATTATTAATCAGCTGGCGAAACTCACCTCTCCGGATTATTCATTACTACACGTGGCATTCGATGCCGAACGGACGCGTGAATAAATAAACTTTGACATAATCATCATCGTCGTCGTCGTCGTCGTCGTCGTCGTCGTCTCTCTCCGTGTACGCACGTGCAACCCACCCGCGGTCGCAAACTGTCTCGTCAATTTGTAATGCGGTAGTTTCCGAAAAGTTTCGGCAAGGCGCGGGGGGAAACCATCGAAGCTCCCTCGAAAATCCACTGCCATGCCAGTGCCTGCGCAAGCACAAGCATCCACCAAAACGCGTATAGCGGTATATAATACACTCGGCGCATTCGCAAAAGCTCAAACACACGGAACTTGGACATGAATTAGCTAAAGCTCTCGTCGGAGTCGCGGCGCAAACTTCTCGCACGCGCTCGTGTACATAAGTAGGTATGTAGTACGTGAGTCGGTGTGCGTGTGTATATAGTATAAAGTCGCAGCCCCCCGGAGCGATTTCAACGAGCGACTTGCGGGAGGGGGTATGGGGTGCCCATAAAACAACGGCCGCGTTTACGAATGGTATTACACTCGCGTGCGTCGAAGGAGAGAACTCATCCGGCGGTGGCTCGCACACAGGGCGCGTCTATACAAAACATGTACGTATACAGTGGCAGTAGTAGTGGTAAGTATATGTATATAGGGTAAGCCTGACAGGAGCAGCAGTAACGGGAGGTGCGCGTCAGACAAAATCGTCGTTTCCTACCCCGCAGTCGAAACTCGCAGTCAAGTTGTTTTCGTCGCGGCTGGCATATTCATGAAGGCGCAACAACAAGCTGTGCTGCTACAGCAGTGACTACTACTACTACTACTACGGCTGAAAAGTAAAATTTAGTAGCAGTGGTGTTGGTATACTGACTTTTGATGGCCTCGTCGAGTCCGCGCAGCCTGCCGATGACCGCAGCCAGCTGATTCTTGCTCTTGCTCGAGTCCTGCTCCTTCTGCTCGCTCAGCGCCCGCTCGATCTTGCGGTCCATCTCGCGGTCCTTGGCGCCCAGTGCCTCGCGCATGTGGTCCGCGTGCACCTGGGCCTGCAGCATCAGCTGGCGCCTCAGCTCGTCGTCCAGCACCTTGCGCTCGGCCAACAACTACAGTAGTACAGAGAATATTTCCGTGTTAGTTTACTGCCGTATATGGTAGTAGTGTATAATATTCGTGTATATAATATATAAACTAGATTGATCGAAGGGAGAGGGCTATAAGAGCTTTAAACAGACGAATGCAGCAGCCTCGCAGAGAGAGAGAGAGTCACGAGGGAGCAACGGGAGGGAAGGGAGAAGGGAGGTATATCAGTATTCCAGATGCATCGGGCACGCGATAGACGAGAGCGGCTACACGCGCGACGGGGTAGTAGAGGTATATTTGCTTGCGCGAGAGAGACGCGCACGCAAAGAGCAAGCCTAATTTCTGGGTCGGGAGTGGTATACACACACACACACATACTCGTACAGACGTATATATAAGAGGGGGAGAAAAAAAACGACGAAGCTCTCTCTCTCTCTCTTGCATGTGTATACGTATAGGTGAAGGTATTTACGACGAGCACGTAGGAAGCGCGTGTTCCTTCGTTCCTCACTCTCTCTTGAGAAGAGAGGCTTGACTGTATAACGTATGTGCATTTTTGCAGGATAGACTGCTGCTGCGGAGTAACGGCGAGCCTAGCCTATATAGCCAGGGAGTAGCAGCAGCAGCAACCCCGCGGGATTGTGTGCGGAGGTTTGCGGCGCCGCGTGCGGATTTAGCCTCCTCCTCCTTAGATATACCAGTAGCAGTGGTAGTAGTGGTAGTGGTGTAGTATAGAGTACGGAAAACGAAGACGAGTGTGAGTTGTGTGTATGGATTGCGCGTGCACGTCTTGCGCGCGAGCGGCTCTGCAGGGCGGGGAGGGATCGGGAGCTTTTTCTCGGCAGAGCTACTACTACTACCACTGCTATATACTCTCTCTATGTCGCGTATACGGATTTTTTTCTGTCAGCCGCGTATACAACGGATTTAAAGATATTCAGCTGCTAGCCTAGCTAGACTGGATGGTTGTGCTGCTAGCTGGTTGGATACGAGATCTCTCGTTATATATATATATATATTCTCGAGTTAAAACGTTTTTTATCGAGTCATTTCGCGGAAGAATATCAAGCTAAAAGGCCGCGCGCGCTCGCGTCTTCTTCGCCTGGATGTACGTACGAAAGGGGGATGGATGACAATTTACGTCGATGTATGCGTGTGTGTGAGTAAGCAGTTTCGAGAGTAGATATAAGTGGCCGGATTTCAAAAGAGTATTAGGGCCGCTGTAAGAGGACCCTACGCATGTATGCGTGCCTATGGGTATATATAGAAGTGGCCTCGGCCGATCGTCGAGCTTTCTCCGCGTATAACGGCGTAAAGTACGCAATGCCGATACGCGCAATATCCTATACTGCAAGAGGACGAGGACATGCACACACACACGATGGACGAGAGCTGATTGGTTTTACACGCACAGCCTACGGGGTGTACTATATGCGTTGTTGTGTATGATACACATCGTCTTCTTGGTCCCTGTATGTGCAGTGCGCATACACTTAACCGGCCGATGGACACCGAAACGCTATTAACCATTACACGCATTGTCCCTTGTCCTTATCGTAGTCGTAGTCGTCGTCATCGGGAATTTGCTAATTTCGCGTAATTCGCCGTTATCTCGTGTCTCAGTGAGCTATCGTGTCTGCCTCTCCCACCCTCTCTCGCACGATGTACGAGTCTCGAGTCTGTATACATATAATACACGCATCGCATCGTGTATATACGCACCCACATTCACGTATAAATACGATCGTCAATATATATCGACGATCGTCGTCCCAGATCGTTGAGATTGCAGCAGCAGCAGCAGCAGCAGCACGCGGATATCCATGATCGTATATAATACACACATATATAGCTGCAAATATATAAAGCAAATAATTCGAATTAGCTTCTCTCTCTCTATGTCTCTCGTCTCTCTGCCTGTCGTCTTTCTCACCCGCTCACACACACACGTACAGAAGCACACGCAGAGAGGTAGAGTATATAACGCATGTAAATGCGCAATGCAGACGCGAGAGAGAGAGAGAGAAGTAGCAGCTTCGGAGCTTTACTATGCGGCAGAGGTCGTTCGTTTTCTCCTCCATATCCACGTATACGCCAGCGAGAGAGAGAGAGAGAGAGAGAGAGAGAGAGAGAGAGAAAGCTCGCACGAGGTAGCAGCTTATATATACATATATACGTATAAAGGATCTCTCACATACACACCCCCGCATCAGATAGGATATGGGATGTTACAAAGCCGCACGATACGCGCCGTGCTACGCTGCTGCGCTGCTGGTACATTATATAGCGCGTATATACCAGCCATGGCATTGTGACGCGTTGATATATCTATACGCGTGTGTGTGTGCTTTACACACACACACACACACATCGGAGGTGGGTGGGGAGGCACCAGAGGAGAAGATGTGCATCGAGAGGGCTTCGAGCGAAGAAGCCGACGACGACGAGCTTCCATATCGTAATACGCTATATAATACGGCCCGGAGCGACGCCGTATAGCAGCGGCAGCGATCTATGTATGTGGGGATCGAGGGTATAAACAGCAGTCAGCGCGTACTATACGTATTATGGTTATTGTTACAAGTGCACGCAGATGAGGGAGAGAGATGAGAGCGTGGAAGGCACGCGGGGCGTTACGAGCTTGCCGCAAAGCTCCTTGTCAATAATTAACGCGCTTTGCCGACGCCGTGAACACACACACACACACACACATGCACACACATGTACACGGAAACCGCCTAAAGCTACCTATACTACCGGTAGTCTAGCTGAAGGCAGCACAGGATACGGGAGTTGGATGGATACGCACCGAGATACGCGCGTGTATGTTTATCGACGTGCACGACGACGACAACGACAACGACGAGCGAGAAAACGACTTGCGCTGCTAGCTGCGTATGGCGTACGTGTTACCATACTAAATGTACATATACGTAGCGTATATCGTAACGCAGCTTTTGCTACGAGAGAGAGAGAGCAAAAGTGCCCTAATGAGTAAACCAAGTGCAGAGCAGAGCACAGCATGGCGGTGGCATCGAGGAATATAGCATGGAGAACCGAGCTTGCGAGCTTGCGCACCCGCTGCTATCTCTATATATACATCGTGCCAAAAGCGTGAAAGGCGAGCCCGGCCCGATACGCTCGCGACATTATAAAATATCGTTTCATCCATTTTGCACGTCGTTATATCATCTGCCGCCGTTGCTGAAACTCGCCCCCCCCCTGCCCCGCCCCCGCCCAAGCCGGTTTATTATTATTCCCTTTGTAAATGGATACACGTCGTAAAGTGCATTGTAATTAGCTGGCCGTCACATCATCCTGGCGCGCTCGCTGCTGCTGCTCTCTTCGCTATATATTGTGCTTCAAAAGAAAAAATTTTTTCTCGCTGCTGTTGCTCGGGCCCATGAATTATGAAAAATATCGTGAAAAATTCAGTACAACGGAGAGAGAGAGAGAGATGAGAGATTCAGCGAGCCACGTTACACGCACGCACGCGTGCGTAATTCATAAAGGGCCAAAAGTTAAAGAAACGACCGACGGAAAAGACACGCGCACAAAGGGGATATTTTAATTAGCTACTCGCGCGCGACATCATCGCACCTTTGTACGGCCACTTTTTATATTACACGATATAAACCGCATGATATCGCGCTAATTTTTACATTTTTTTCTTCCTTCCCCCCCCNCCCCCCCCGTGGGGCAGCCCCAATCTCGCGCGTGAAGCTTTATACTTAATTCGTTGTTCATTCGCGTCGTCCTCGTCGTCGTCTGGGGCTGTTAATTTAGCGAGAGAGCCCGAAGAAAGTTCATTTTTCAAATGTCGACACTGTTTTAGACACTGCAGCGCGCAATTTACCGTAAATTTTCGCTCGCGCACGAAAGCTCAACAACTTGTCGATAATTGCTAGCTGGCTAAGTTTGTTTTTTATCACGTGTACATGAAAATCTGATCGATGATCCCCTGCAGCTATATGCACTTTTGCGAATTTCAAATGGTGCCGGGACACGCAGGCAGATAGATCTAAACGCTGCCGCTCATTAAATTACATCAACGGCAACGCAGCAGCAGCAGCGTCGTATACATCATTTGTGTCAATTACGAGCTGAAAAATGACAACGACGATCCGCTCGCACGCGCGTATACAAGAACAAAAGTTGACGCTGCTGCTCGACGTATAGACGAGCTTGTGTATATACGTATATAGCAACTACTACCGGTGTGACTCGAATCAATTATCGATATCGCTAATTAAAGTGTTTGAAATAGCGACAGATTCGCGACGCGCGAGTCGATGAATATATATATACGCGTGGCTGCTACTTTACCAACCCCCTCTTTTGCGAGCCGAGCAGTAGTAGCAGTAGCCGAAGGTACGCCGCCGCCGTGTGCCTGTACGCTCGCTCCCCTGAGATAAAGTTTAACGCTTTTCAATAGCCTAACTTTTGAAAGGAATCGATTTGCCTTGGCTGCTGCTGCTCTCGATTCGGGGCGCTCGTTCGCTCTTTCCTACACGCACACACGTTTACACACACACACACACACCAGCCCCTATACTACCCAACATCGACGTCGAGAGAGAGAGCTGATCTGCTCGCGCGAGAGTATAATATAGCTCAATTTTGTTATACGCAGCGGCAGCGGCAGCAGCAAGCCAAGGAAATATTTAATTCAATTATTAGCCCCTCGCAAGCGATATAAAGAGGGTGAAGGAGGAGAGGGCAGCTTTTAAGGATATATGATGTATTGGATCGTGATTGATAAAACAAGCTCGCTCCGTGCGGGGATGGGTGCGGGTGGGTATCCATACTACGCATTCCGCGATACGAGCGCGGAACAATCAATTTTCTTGCGCGCATATTTAATCGATGTGTCAAAATGATCGATAGCCACCGGCAGCACCACCACCAGCTCGCATGGCGGCCGATAGATATAGATAAAAAGAGAGATCGAAAAAGCATCTCCTCTTGGCGAGCTCGAAAATATAAAACGCAGAGAGTCGAGGAGCAATAAGGATATAATACT